AGGCTGACTTTGAATTCATGATTTTCCTGTCTCAGCCTCCCAAGCCACAGGAATTACAGATATGGGCTACCGTGCCTGGCTCAGGCTATCTTTTATCACTGATTTATAATTCAATTCCATTATTTTCAGAGATCATTCTTTATATGATTCCCACTTACTGAAATTTGTTAAGGCTTGTTTCCTGATTCAGAACATACAACACATTTGTGACTATTCCATGTACTCTTGAAAAGAAAGTGTATTCTGCTGCTGTTTCATAGTGTTTTACAAATTATCAGTTGGATCTAGTTGCTTGGTGGTAATAGTCAGTTGTTCTGTATCAGTAGTTCTAATCTGGGGGCAGTTTTGCTCCTCAGTGGACATTGGGCAATATCTAGAGACATTATTGGTTGATACAACTAGTGGGCAGCTACTGGCATCTAATGGACAGACTCTTCTGGCCTTACACTGTTGGATATCCTGCACAGGGTCTTCCCTCTCATCTTTACCAATAGCCAAGAATTTTCTGGCCCAATTTCAATAGAGCTGAATCTTGAGACTGAGTCAATAGAGCTGAGGTTGAGAACACATTGTTCCTTGCTGATTTTTGACTTGCTGTATTGATTATTGAGAAGAAAGCATCGATATCTTCAGCGATAACTACAAATTTGTCTATTAATATTATTAGCTTTTGCTTCATTTATATTGAAGCTCTGTTGTTAGGTATATACATATTTAGGATTTTTCTTTGTTTTCTTGGAAAATGTCATTTTAGTATATTTTTCTCCCTTTCAGCTAAATTTTCTTGTTCTGAAATATTCTTTGTCTGAGATTAATGAAGTTGATTCAGCTCCTTTAGTGTTTTCTTGGCATGTCTTTTCCCATTTCTTTCAGTTAAACTCATTTTTGTTTAAAGTGAACTTCTGATACATACCAATGTTTATAACAGTACTATCCACAATAGCCAAGTTGTGGAACCAGCCTAGGTGTACCCATCAGCAGATGAATGGATAAAGAAAATATGGTGTACACACACAAACACAAAAAAATAGAATTTTACTCAGCCATAAAGAAGAATGAAATTATGTCATTTGCTGGAAAATGAATGGAACTGGAGAACATCATGCTAAGGTAAATAAGCCAGATTTAGAAAGTCAAGGGTCAAATGTTTTCTCCCATATGTAAAAGCTAAAAAGAACAAAGGAATGAAGTCGGGAGGCTCTTATTAAAATAAAGGGGAATTAGTAAAATACAAACAGAAGCAGGGGGTGGGAACCCAAGAGGAAGGGGACGATCTGAGGAATAACATGACCAAATTATAGTAGGTGCATGTATGTATATACCACAATGCATTCCAATTTTGTATGTAACTATAATGCATTGATTAAAAATAAATAAATAGAAATAAGACCAACAGAGTAGAGGAAAGGGGTCAATAGAGGGAGAAGGAAAGGGAAGTGGATTGAAATGGGGTAAAAATAAAGTTTTTAATTTCATATAGAGAGCCCATAATTGTTTGTTTTTCTCTTGCATTCCAATCTCATCACTGTGTTTTCACTGGTATGTTTGGTTCACTTTCATATAATGTAAGTATTGTATGTCTAGATTCAGGACTACCATTTTTATGGTTTTTTTGTTTTGTTTTGTTTCTGTTTGCTCCTTCTGTTTTCTGCTTCCTGCATTCTTTTGGATTATTTAATTTTTTTAAGAAAAATGGTTTTACTTTCATTTACATACTTAGTTTTTTACTATTTCTTTTAAAATTTGTTTCAGTGTTTGCTCTGGGGATCAAAATATACACCTTAACTTTCACAGTATGTTTACGATGACTATTTTACCACTTCAAAAGCAATGTAAAAACTTTACTAGTGTTCAGGTCTCATTAACAGCTCCCACTATGTTTTAGTTGTCATATATACTGGATCCACATACATTGACAACCCTATCAGATCATGTTATAATTTTTGCTTTCAACTCCAAATATATTTTAAAGATTTTAAGGGAAAAAAATAGCTTATTACATTTACTCAGCTATTTATCATTTCCATTGTTCTTCCTCTACTCCAAAAGATACAAGGAGCCAAGTTTCTCTCCAGTGTGGTCTCCCTTTCATTGGCATTTCTTTAACAGCAACTGAGCTAGTGACAGAACCTTTTGTTTTTCATTCATTTGAAGATGTCCTTATTTTGCCTTCATTCACCATCTGGGTTGACAGGATTTTTTTTTTCCTATTAGCACTGTAAAAATTATCTTTTGGTGCCTCTGAGCTTCATGGCCTGGTCATTTATAGTGTTGGACATTTTCCCCTAAATGTAATGTGTTATTTTTTTTTTTTTTGGTCAAGATTCAAATTTCTTTCTTTCTTTTTCATCAACTTGATTATGTGTCTGAATGCAGATTTTTTTTTTCCAGTTTATCATGTTTGAAGTTTGCTAAGTTTCTTGCATCTGTCCTTTTTATGTCTTTCACCAACTTTTGGAAGTTTTGGATTGCTTTCCTTCAAAAATTTTTCTGGATCATAACTTCTTTTTCTTCTTCTTTTGGGAATGTGTGTGTTTCTGTGTGTACTGTACACATACACAGGTTCTCTTCCTTCAGTTTTCCATGTGCCTGAGTGAGGCTAGGGCTGAGGCAGGAGTAAAGGGGAGACAAACAGGCAAAACCAGCCAGGTGTGGTGGCGCACACCTGTAATCTCAATGGCTCGAAGGTTGAGGCAGGATAATCATGAGTTCAAAGCCAGCCTCAGCAACTTAGTGAGGGCCTAAGCAATTTAGCAAGACCCTATCTCTAAAAAAAGATACAAAGGACTGGGAATGGGGCTAAGTGGTTAAGTGCCCCTGGGTTCAACCCCAGGTATGAAAACACAAAACAAAACAAACAACAACAATAAAAACAAACAAGCAAAACCAGATTTTCTTTGCTCTGACTGATCCTAAAAGACCCCTTTCCTATTCCCTGGACTCAAATTACAATAATGACAAGATCTTCTTGAAAATCAGAAATCTTGCTGCCCTCACTTGATGTTTGGGGTTGCCTTTGAATCCAGGCCAAGAGATACAGATGGGAGTAGGAGGGAAGACTCAGGAAACATGCTACCAGATTGCTCTGAGTTAGGGGTTTTGTCTTTGATCATCCCAATACCATTTGTCTTTAAGTCCTCAGTGTGCTTCTCTGTGTGTTCTGCCTCAGGTCTTTTCGGTAGGCAAGGTGGGGCAGGGTGCCCATACTCTCACTTCACTGTAACAGGAAGGTTTAAAGCTGTCTTTTTAAAGCTGCTTTAACCTACCTGGCTTCTCTGAGCTGAATGATACAGAAACTTCCTTACTGGTGAACAAAGTGCCAGGCCTGGTGACCAGCCAATTATGCCTGAGTGTGGTATGTCCACCATTTCTGAAAAATAGAATCAGCTAACAAGGCTTGCTCAAAAGAATATCAGTGCTGTTGAGAACTGAGACTCCTTTCACTGATTTACTGTGGAGATCAACACACCAAGCCCAGGAGGCTATGATCTAACAGGTTTGAGTAAGGCGAGACCCTCTGATCTTCAATTAAGAGTGGTGATAGTGGGATTCATTATAAGCACAGGAAGGTCATTTTTTTCCCTTTGGACCCTGAAGATTACTGAATGAGAAACATGTGAGATAATAGGTCACATATCCCAGTTGCTTGAGACTCATGAACATGGCTCCTGATAAGAGTCTGGATGATGGAAAACAAACTCTGTTACGTGTCTCCCTATCTACCCTTCCTGGGGCTAGAGGCAATACAAGTGTTTGGCTTCCAATAGCATGCTTATGTCTGCTTTGGGAAACTTGATCCGAAAGTAGGAAATCAGCAAACAAGAGCCATCAAATTCTAGAAGAAGAAAGGGGTTGCAGAACACAAAGAACAGTGTTTGCACCCTCTTCCTTGCTGTAGAACTTTTTCGCTTCTGAGCCTCAGTGTTCCTCGCTTTATGATAGGGATACTTCCATGGATCTTGTTGGGTTGTTGAGGATTGGAGACACTATGTTTAATAACTAAAATTAAGATGTTACTGTGTGGCAGGCATTGGTAAAAATTCTATGTAGTAGTACAGATAATTTTCCCCCACTAAGAGCTCTTTGAGGGGGTTGTTTTCACAAAACAAGGAAATTTGGGCATTGAGAATTTAAGAAAATTATTAGCAGCAGAACTGAATTTCTAAGTCAAGAATGCTGAGGCTAGAATCTTCCATCCCCTTTACATTCTACTTCTCTGTGTGGTGGCATTCATAACTATCATAACACCTATGCATGCAGGGGATTCTACTGTGAGGCTGGGGAGGGGTAGGAGGTGGAGAAAGGAAGCATTGTCTTATAGCTTCACCTGGCTAAACTCCAGTCCTCTGCATGCTTATAGTGTAGGCAAAGCCTGACAACCTGGGCTCAATATAGCTCCTGTTGCCCTGTAGTTATATTAGTCAAGGCCTGACTGATTCCTCTGAGTCTAAAAGGTGAAGAGAGATAAAATAAGTCTTTCTTAACTCCTACCTGATTTCCTCGTAGCCAGGCTTATGTTGCATCTGATGGAAACCCCTTCTTAGGACAGTCATATGAAGAAGACTCTAAACTTATGTGGGGTATAGAAAGTGGCAGATAGTCAAGAAACACATGTGCACGTATGTGCACACACACACACACACACACACACTTGGGGTCAGGAGTACATGTCAAAGCCCAGGACAATGGAGGCATTCATAAGTCAGAAGGATGCTAGAGATGCATTCAGCATCCTTCAGGTCAACCACGCACCCGCCTTTCAACATCTAGGAAAACTGAAGCCTGAAAATTGCACACAACTTGATAATTGAGAGGAGTCAGAGCATCATCAGAAGTAACCCACCCAAAAGTCTTTATCAAATTCTGCTGATGCTCTGACTCCTCTCAATTATCTGTTTGTATCCTTTTAGACCATTATGATGGAGCAAAGCACATGATTTGGGGCTAGTCCAGTATCCTTATCTCCTCTCGTAACTAATTTTTTTTTTTGTTCATACCAGAGTCTATCTTCTAGAATTTTCATGTAACTCCTTCCTCAAACTGATTACCATCCAATCAGAAAAATATTCTTCAAACAAAGTCTCTTAATAAAAGAACATGGCCCAGGTTGGGAGAGGCATCAAGGGCAAGAAGATCACCTTCAATGTGGCCAAGAATTGTATTAGAATTACTTTTGATGGGAAAAGACGCCTTGATCTGAGCAAGATGGGACTTACCTCCTTCCCCAAGTGCATTCTGCGACTCAATGATGTGGACGAGCTTGATCTTAGCCGGAACATGATAAGGAAGATCCCTGAATCTATTTCCAAGTTCCAGAACCTGCGTTGGCTGGACCTGCACAGCAACTACATAGATAAGCTCCCTGAGTCCATTGGCCAGATGACCACCTTGCTCTACCTCAACATCAGCAACAACAAGCTGACCACCAACGGACTGCCTGTGGAGCTGAATCAACTCAAGAACATCCGTACTGTCAATCTGGGTTTGAACCACCTGGACAGTGTGCCCACCACACTGGGTGCTCTGAAGGAGCTCCATGAAGTGGGGCTCAATGACAACCTGCTAAAAACCATTCCAGCAAACATCTCCAAGCTCCCCAAGCTGAAAAAGCTTAACACGAAGAGAAACCCTTTTCCAGACACTGAGCAGTCAACCTCATTCATAGATTCCATTAAAAGGATGGAGAACCTGTATCTGGTCGACGCAAAAGATCTGTGTGGGCCCTGCCTGCGGAAATGCCAACTGGCCCGGGAAAATCTGAACAAAATGAAGAGCATGGTTTTGCCAGGACCCAGAAAAGCCATCTTCCCAAATTTGGTTTCACCCAACTCCATGGCTAAGGATTCCAAAGAAGACTGGAGGTGACCTGGGACCCTGACCCTGAGGCAGGAGAGGAAAAAGTGGGAGGGAAGGGGCAGTGGGCTGCATCCACAGGAAAGTGAAGGCTCTTCCCATTACTGCTATAGCTCTTCCTCCCAAGCCCATAAACACCTTTCTCTACCTCCTCTGCTTATGATTTTGCTGATTCAAGGGCTTTTGGTTCCTTGCCATGACACACCTTTCCCTCTTCTCTGCAGGCACATACCCACATGTACAGATACAGTGATTCTGGGAAAGGCCATCCGTCCCGCATCTCACTTCTGCCCCAGAATTCTCCTGCCTACTACTCGCAGCCGCAGCAGCTCTTGCTGCCAGCATGCTCTTATTCTCATTATCACTGGCATTTCAGGACCCACAGCCAGTTCCCAAAAGTTCTATGGGAGTTTTTTGAATCTGAGCTTCAAAAGGCAGCAAACCCATAGGAAGAGTTGGTGGGACAGAAGATGGCACTAGTCTTGGGTGAAGACAAGCTAGAGAGAGGAAAAGGTCTTATAGTGAAGTATTGGTGGGTATCATCTTGGATCCAGAGCTTTACTATCCTTTCCTCTTATCTGTACTTGGAAAATTTGCTCCAGGAGCTTTCTAGACTAAACCTGCAGGCCCTTGAACTGGCTGTGAATGAGTGAACCTATTTCATCCTGTGCTTTTCCATACCCTTGTGGGGAGGTAGGAAAGAATGGAGGCAGGCATGGATTATTGGTTGGTACATTAAACAAATAAATACCTTACTAGACACCATGCTAGGTGCAGGGCCCCTGCACAGTTGAGAAAAGCTTGGCTTGCCTGCATAAACTGGAAGAGAAACTATCTGAAAGAAGGTGGGGAAAAACATCAGAGTCTGAGGAACTGAGGATATTAGGACCATGGTCTTCGTAACCGTGATTTAAGACTTCCTCAAGATAATTATAAATACACATAACTATAAGCTATGGTTAGACTTTTAAGGCATGCAGAGCTGGCCTGGCATAGAGAAAAACCAGATTCTTCTGGTCCATGACATCTCTGCTTCTCTTGCCAGTCCTTTGGAGTACCTTACTTAGCATCCATTCCCTCATCTGTGAAGTAGGAATAGTACCATACCAAACTGCAAGAGCTGTCATGCATCTAAAACAGGCAGCACAAAGAACATGAACTCACTCACACGGGTTCTCTCCTGGACAGAGAGCTTGGTGCATCTCAAAGCTGAAATACCATCTTGGGTAGTGGCACAAGTCACAGGAGCTTTGGGCAGAAATGATAGTATAGAGACAACCCCATGATGACTTATGAACCTTCTTCTGCCCTCACTGTTTGCCACTCACTCATAACTTCATACTGGCTAAGAGGAAGGGTCTGAGGAAGACACCTTGAGGAAGGTTCTTCCCCCACAACTTTCCTGAGTGGTGGCAAGTTTGCTGCCGTGGCCATTGTTCAGCATGGAGCCTCCATCTGAGTAGGGGGATTAGCTTTTATCTCTTTTTCACACTGTAAATCACAGCAGACAGTATGTTTCATTTTTTTCTCCTACTTACTATATTTCCTTTTTTAATGCTTAGCTCTCACAACTTTGTTGCACTTTGAAAATTTCATATCTAGATTCAAAATTCTAATCTTACTTTCTTCCCTTTATTAAAACTTTCTGCTAGAAAGTAACAAAACCTCAATCTAGTTTTAAATAGAATAGCTTAAAGTACCCACTATTCTATAGTGTAAATAATTTCTAATATTGGCAGCCTTCCTTACTAGTTATTTTTCTGTGAATCTATTTATGCAGAGTTAAAATTACAGCATTCCTGTCATTTCTATCCTGCATTGCAGCCCACATTGTCATGAAGTCTTTATAACCATAATATGAAACATCTGCAAGAGAGTTATTCTTATGGATATGCATAACTATAGGTTACTTTGGGCATTTAAGTTGTTTGCAATTTTGTTGTTGTTAATGGAAATGGCTTTGTGCTGAGAGGCTGGATTACTAAAATGTTTTTTAAATAATTTGGATGATTTATTTGTATATCTGCATTGCTAGAAATATTGTGTGAAAGGTTTTTTTTAAAAATATAATTTTTGATGTATGCCATCAATATGTTCACATATATTTGTCTACTAGTAATATGCTAGAGAGCCAGCATCAAGCACTGCCCTTTGCACTTTTCATTGAATGTCAGCAATGATTTATTAGAAGCCCTCTGAAGAGTGGGGGCAGTCATGTCTGAAATATGCATGATACCTTTGGTTCAGGGGCCCTCACTAGGATGCTGGGCCCTGGGCACATCCATAAAGGAGACAGCTGGCATTTTTTTACTTCCTCTTTGACCCAATAGGGACAGAATTCATACAGAGGACACAGATCTAAGCAGAGTGGTAGCTAGTTATATGGATATTTCTCATTTCAATTACTCTCCCCTTGAGGCACTTTTGTATTTTGGAGAATTAGTATCACCTTCTTAGGTACTTTCTGCAGATCTTTTTAAGAAAAGCCTTGCAGCTACTGATCCCACCTCTGCCCCCAAGGTGGATCCAGGTCTGGGGCAGGGATTTGTCACTCTGCTTCTTCCTCTGCCCCTGGCAGCACAACCCTCACTATGCTTGGTCAGGTCCACTCCTGGCTTTGCTGCCAGTGGTTGGTTGGCATGCAAGTTGACACTCTCGCTCTAGTGTTCCATGATGTTTTTGCTCTTATCTCCAGGTCCTAAGAAGGGGTTTCAGTGCACTGGAGTTCACCAGAGTTGAGCGGTGGGCTTTGATTTGCCACTGAAAGTACTCAGGTCAGATACCATTTTAGCTAGAAAATGCTGGCAGTAGAATGAAGCACAGACTGGAGATACTGACCAGTTAGGAGACTGCATTTTATTTCTTTTTCTCCCAAGGAAAAGTTTGATGATAATGTTCCTTCATGCTCTAAAATGCCACCATTACCTTTACCTCCTGGAGATGGTGTAAAGCCTAAGAATACTTGATAGTAAATCCATGGGATTTCTCTTTCCTCAAGTAGAATAAAAACTGACTTTTCACTTATCCTTACCCTATCCATCGCTCTTTTGGGAAGCTAGCCATGACCTGGGTGACACTGATGGGACCTCAGGGTGACCTGTGTTTTGCCTTGTGGTCTGGAGAAGTTGCTCAGCCTCTTTTGTCTCCATTCCCCAGGATGCGCACACCTTCCTGGAATAGCTTACGACAAAGACAGGAAGAATAAGCAACTAACAGGAATCAGCGACTCTGAAGAGGAGAAGCCCTGAGTTAGGAGAAGACAAAGAGTGAACAGGGAACATTCTGGAAGTGAGGCTCTCTGGTGCTGCCCAAGCCACTGACTTGCCTTATGAATATCTGCTTTGCCTACCTTCCTTTAGGAAATGTGTGAGAAGGTGTGAAAATGACTTGGGAAAATATTTGAAGTACTTTTTTAAATGTAGAAGAAGCATTTAAGAAAATTATTAATATACTATTGACAAATAAAGACAAAAAAGATGTTAAGTCTTTAAAGGCTTACAATCTCAACATTTCACTCAACTGGAACAATCAGACTGAAATACTTCAAGCAACTAACATTTATACAAAATATTTACATAGAGAAATAAGCATATTATAAAGAATTTCAACAAATCTTTTAATTATGCATAGGTAGGCAGAAAACAGAAATGAAGAATAAGGAAAAATCAGAAAATAAAAGATATTTATGTCCCAACATATCAATAATTACATTAAATGTAAATGGTCAACTTTATTTGTAACAGCTACAAACTAGAAACAATTAAATGTCCCCCAATGAACAAATGGTTAACCAAAGTCTGGAATACATCATGGAATACTATTCAGCAATAAAAAATGAGCACAATATTCATACATACAACAACTCAGATGGATCTCAATGGCATTGGTTTGAATTTTAAAAGGCCAAAGACTGCATACTCCATGATTCTATTTATAGAACATTATCTAGGACACAATGATAGAGAAGAAAAGAAGACCAGTGGTTACCAGGAATTAAGGATGGTTGGGAATGGAATGGCAGGGAGTGGGTATGATCAATAAAGTAGTGGTTCAAGAGATATATTTGTGGTGATAAAATAATTGTATATGTTGATTATGATTATCATTACATGTGGTAAAATGATAAATAACTATGAACATACATGTACCAGTGTAAATGTCCTGGGTTTTGAAATCATACAATAGTTACATAACATGTACCCATTGTGGGGAGTTAAATTAGGTGAAGGGTACCCAGGCCTGTCCCCTTCACCACTCTTACATTGCAACACTCTACCTGGCTTCCATTTTCCACCCTTATAATCTGTGTGGCCATTCTGGCTAGTCCTTCCCTGCTGGGAGCCATTAGCCAAGTAGGTATGACAATTTCCTTGCCAGCGTACCCCATGTTGCTGACATGTTGCAGTGACATTGAATGTAAGTGACCTTGCTCAAGGACCAAGGCAGATTAGGGTGTTCCCGGTTTTAAGATAATCGTGTTTAGGGCATTCCCAGTTTAGGTTCCAGGTTTAAGGTTTAAGATTATTCCTGCTGGGAATAGGGCGTATCCTGCTGCCTGAGTTCCCCTTGAGTTCTCACGGGATTCAGACAATATATTTTGGAGATAGAAGCCCAGTGGAGGTGGATTTGGGCAGAGAACGTGGATTTGGGAAGAGAACGTGGATTTCCCCAGAACGTGATTGTAGACGGCTGGTGTGAGTTCGGGAATAAAGAGTTGCTGTTTGAATCTACAAGCTGTGTGGTGGCTCGTGATTGTGTGCCCAGCCAGACTGCGGCATTTGTGCCCAGCCAGACATTGGCATTTGGCGTCCCGTGCGGGGAACTTCTGAAGCTTAGAGGTAAGTGAAATTTCTCACCCTTGAGGAAGAGAGAAAGAATGGGTGAATATTTCAAAAAACAATGTGTTATTGTTTTGATTTATTTTGTTTTTATTTCAAGTTGCCTGTTCCTAGAACTTTCTCAGGCAAACTGGGGAAAATGGTTGACTCAAGGTTTGAAGTTGTTCGCCTCCGAGCAAGATAAATTGTTAGAGGAAGAAGGCACCCCAGTAAGACCAAGAACAATTAGGGCATATGTTGATACAATACAAAAATGTAGCCCATGGCTTTTTAAAGACAAGTTATTAAGTATATCAATGGGACCATCATGGTATCCTGTAGAAGGATTTTTCTTCAACAAGAAAGAGATGGCTAGTTCTGTTTACTACACTTGTCTAAGATCTTGGTTTTTACAGACATCTGATTAATTTACAAAGCTAAAGTGTTAAAATATCAGCCACTAAATATGAAATCAAGTACTCTTTACTTATTAAGTTCCATAAGGTAATATATTTAAACATTATGTGTGTTTTCATAAATTGGTGAATGGAAAAAGTTTAATATTGCTTTGGTCTGTGTCTTTGCTAAAACAAGGTTACTAAGTGTTAAGATTCTATCATGTGTAATTTATATACAAAGAGTAGAAAAATTTTCAGTTGGGTTTCAATTATAGTATTATAGTATCATAAAAAACATGAAAGTCTTTCATCTTATTAAAGTGGAGTAATTTGTCTAAATCAGAAATTTTATAAGGGTTGTTTCAAAATGTGAATTTATAAAAAGGGTTAATGGCTAAAAAAGAGATAGAAAAAAATTCAAGATGTGGAAATATATTTTAATATAAAAGGTTAAAGGAAAAAGAAATGTTTCTAGATGAGATAATCTGTGTGTGGTAAAGTAAAAAGTTGTAAAATGCCATTTAAAAAGATTTTGAGGAAACTAGACTTACTTTAAAAGCTTGAGAAAGGAAGAAAGAAGAAAAAGGTATTTGTACATGGCAGATTGAGACAAAGCTTCTCAATGGAGTTAAAAAAAAAAAGGCCTTTGGTTGAAGGGTAGCCATGTAAACTAACATTAAAGCAATTTAAACAGAATCTAAACCTCGTTTAAAAGAGTGAAGTTGTAGGTGGTGAAAAAGTACATTTAAAAGTACAGTATAGATGATAATTAAAAGGCTTTAAAAGGTTAAATTGAAGGTGGTTAAAATGCCTTCATGATGGAAAAAAGAAGCTTAATCTTAAAGGCATTACTTTAAAAAAATGGGAAGATAACAGGATAAAAGATATTTAGATAAAGAAGATTAAATATTTGAAGTGAAAAACTTTAAAGACAGAAGTATAGAAAGTTAAAAAGAAAAAAAGATAAAGAAGATGTAGAAAGATAAAAAAAATGTAGGAAGACAAGAATTTTAAACCCACAAAATAGGAAGAAAAAAAAAAAAACTAGGAGGAAAATAAGCAACTAAGGGTAAATATAAAAACATTAGAAAAAAAAAACTAAAAGATAGAAATAAGATAAAAAATGTTTGAAAATATCAAGTAAGGTATTACAGATAGAAAATGCAAAAGGCTAAGACAACTATTAGATACAGACATGTACTTATTAAAGCAAAAAGAGGGAATTGGAAAGGGGTATATATCCCCCAAAGATAAACCTAAAATAACGCTTTTTACACTAAACTTTTTAAATTTGGATTCATAAGGACTTAGTGCTGCGGAAAGACATGTATCCAAAAAATGTACATAAGCCTAAGGTACTTTGGAAAGATATTCTAACAGGACAATGGAAAGGTCCTGACCCAGTGATTGTCTGGAGTCGGGGGTCTGTTTGTGTTTTTCCACAGGGAGAACAGCAGCCCATTTGGATTCCAGAGAGATTAACTAAAACAGTTTCTACAGATCGAAAAGAAGATGATTTGACTCAAATCCATAACAGCTGATATCCAGAACTCCAGCTTGGCCATTCTTACATCTGCGACAGTGATTAACCAGGATGCTTTTTTCAATAGCTATTTTATTATTGCATTTTTCCACATCATAAGGTTCTATTTTTATTTTTTGAGCTCATACAAACCTAGGTTAATGTTTTTCTGATCAGTTTTATTTTTTGACTGTGGAGTTTTTAAACATTGCAATGGAGATTTCACCCAGGTAAAGCTACAAGGCCTTTACTATTTTCTTATGTGTTGTACGTTTGTGTACACTCTTGTGTTTTGTGTTGTATGTCTGTATGTGCGTATGTCCATATTTCTTATATGAGGAGCGCTCATGAAAAAATGGATCCGAATTATTATTATTTTTTTTATTCACGTGATTTAAATGGTTTAATTTAAATTATGTAAACAGCTGTTAAGGATTGTTTTTAAAGGTGGTTAACAGATCTGTTTGTTTACTAATTTAAATTAGGTAAAAAGCTGTTAAGGATTGTTTTTAAAGTAGGTTAACAGATCTGTTTGTTTACTTTCACCTTTCCTTTTCATTATATTTAATAATTCTTTTCAGGATAATGTCTCTTTAGCATCATTGCCAGAATTCCTATCTCCATCCCAGTGCCGGTGAAGAACTCAACAAGTAATGCTCAATCAAAGAGTCAACTTACTTTGGGAGGAAACGGATTTGGGGAGGAAATGGACATATTGATAGATTCCTCTGCTTTGAACTGCTTGCAGAACTTGCCTGGACTATGTAACTATCGTTTGGTGCAGCGAATTGTGGTAATGCTGGCATATCTTTGCTGATGGTGTCACTGGTGATGCAATTTTTATTTCCTTGCCAGCACACCCCATGTTAATTGTGGTAGTGCTGACATATCTTTGCTGATGGTGTCACCAGTGATGCAATTTTTCCCAAGGAGCCGTCAATTGGCTTGGTGTCGTGGCATTTCTGTATCCTCCTCCCTTCTGCTAGTGGTGGTCTAAAATTTGGGGGCCAATGGCTTATGCTGGACCGGTAGTCAGTGACGGGTATGATCCAATTGCAGTGGTATCAACCTAAGACAGGAGGCTGACGCCTAAAGGTCAGTTTTCCGATGACGGGTAAGAACCATATGTTGAATTGGACAACCTACCAGGCACGGTCCATAAGCCACATTAACCTCACTCCCCCACTGGCACCAAGGCCAAATTTGGGGGCCAACAGAGGTGAGGCAAAGAACCTCACCCCCCCACTGGTGCATAGACCTATCCACAACTATGGCTGTATGCTGGACCGGTAGTCAGTGACGGGTATGATTCAATTGCAGTGGTATCAACCTAAGACAGGAGGCTGACGCCTAAAGGTCAGTTTTTCCCATGACGGGTAAGAACCATATGTTGAATTGGACAACCTACCAGGCACGGTCCTTAAGCCACATTGCTTGTTGTTTAATTAATCAGAAGGGGGGAGATGCTGGGAGCCATTAGCCAAGTAGGTATGACAATTTCCTTGCCAGCGTACCCCATGTTGCTGACATGTTGCAGTGACATTGAATGTAAGTGACCTTGCTCAAGGACCAAGGCAGATTAGGGTGTTCCCGGTTTTAAGATAATCGTGTTTAGGGCGTTCCCAGTTTAGGTTCCAGGTTTAAGGTTTAAGATTATTCCTGCTGGGAATAGGGCGTATCCTGCTGCCTGAGTTCCCCTTGAGTTCTCACGGGATTCAGACAATATATTTTGGAGATAGAAGCCCAGTGGAGGTGGATTTGGGCAGAGAACGTGGATTTGGGAAGAGAACGTGGATTTCCCCAGAACGTGATTGTAGACGGCTGGTGTGAGTTCGGGAATAAAGAGTTGCTGTTTGAATCTACAAGCTGTGTGGTGGCTCGTGATTGTGTGCCCAGCCAGACTGCGGCATTTGTGCCCAGCCAGACTGTGGCACTTCCCCATCTCTCCTGCTGGCTCCTCCCCATGTACTTCCCCTCTAGAGGCTGGTGTGCCCAGGGTACAGTCCTAGACTTCCTTTCCATGTTCATGCATTCTCCTGTTGATCTTGGTCTACTCTCGTGGCTTTAAACACCATTTCATTTCCATCTCTTGACCCCTCTCTCAAACTCCAACTTCATATATCCCATGGTCTACACAATGCCCCCACCTAGACACACAACAGGCATCTCAAAATACACACATCTAAAGCCGCCGAGCTCCTGCTATCCAACACAGCCCCATAGCAGCTCTTCCTGGCTGTCCCCATTTCATTTTCTAGCTGCTCAAGGCTAAATTCTTGGTCTTGTCCTTAAATCCTTTCTAAGATACACTTATCATCAAATCTCATAATTTTTATCTTCAAAATATGTCCACAGTCTGACCATTCACAGCATCTTGGTTACCATTTCCCAAGTCATCACCATTCACCTGAATTACAGTGACCACCTAATCAGTCTCCAGCTTTTGCCCTTGACCTACAAAGTTCTATTGTTGACACAGGAGCCACAATAATCTTTTTTCAATGTAAGTCAGTTCACAACAATCCTCAGAACTCTCCAATGCTTCCCATTTATTCAGAGTAAAAGCCAACACCACGAGCCCTCGAGAACTGCACAAACTCACCTCTCCTACTCCTCCCCACTCTGCTCTAACTCCCTACACCCCACCAAGGAGCAGCTCCAGCCTCAGCCAAGCCAGCCAGGCTCCCTTCAGGGCATTTTCATTGTTATTCCCTCCATCTAACATTTTCCTGGGTTACCTGTATAACAGGTTTCCCCATTTAATTCAAGTCTTAATTCAAATATTATTAATAAGAACTTTGAATTCAATGTGAACCTCTCTCTGCTTTATTTCTTATACTTATTATTTAATATGCTTTACAGTACATTCATTTAAATTGTTTAATGTTTATTCTCCTCACAAGAAGGTAAACTCAATAAGGACAGGAGAATTTTTTTTGGCTCTTTTGCTGGTTATTCTGTTAAGTGCCAAATTCTTTATATCACAAGTTATAAAAAAAATAATTTTTGAATTGATGAGGCCTATTCCATACTTATTACCATTCTTGGTCATACCTCTTGTCCTATTCTCACATAATTCTGGTCAAAACCAGTAACCATCTTTTCCTCCTATTCTCATTCCTAACTGAAATAAAAAAAATATTTACTGATTCTGAATTGGCCTCCTAGAGACCTGGGCACCAACAAAGGGGGTCCTGAGTAAGGGCAATAAGGCTTTCATTCCCTGGGAACACGCCCCATATCACATACCCACAAATCACCATCTGAGGACTATATCATCATGTAGAGACCAAGTTCTCTCATCTGAAATGCTTGGAACCAGAAATGATTCTGTTCCCACATTTTTTAAATGTTGGAATATTTGCATATACTATTGGGTTATCTTGGGGATGGGACTCAAATCTAACCAAAAAATTCATATTGGTCTGCTGAAAGTCATCAATGACCCTTAAGTTGCCAAGTTCAATGGCTATTTTATATATACCTTAAACATACAACCTGAAGGTAATTTTAACAAGATTTTTAGTACATCTGTCTTTTAACTGCCCCCTGTCACATGAGGTCACACATGGAATTTTCCACTTTGTAGCATCATATTGGTACTCAAAAAGTTTTCGATTTTGGAGTATTTTGAATTTTTCTGAATAAGGATTCTTTAACCTGAATTTCGCCTATGAGCATTCAGAAGCACTCATTATGCAAAGACAGACTTGGGATGCTTCCCACATCTGCACCTGAGGGCCTGAATCCCCAGATGTGCCTATAGCAAACTACCCAACCACCACAGTCAGGAGCCGCTTGCCACCATTTGGGTCTGAAAAAGCCACAGAGTATGTGGAACTTCAGGTATATTCATAGTGGTTTAACTGGAAGAAAGAATTTCAGGATGATGAAGGATGAAAGGAGAATGGGAAAGGAAAAAAATAAAGGAGAAATGGGTGGACATGCTCTTTGCATGAATCTTTAAAGTAGGACCAGGCAAATATAGACCAGCAAAGTAAGGTCTGCACCAGGCCCAGAGAGCCTCTAGTCCTGACTTACCTTAGATTGAGGGGGTCCTCTGTGACACCTTTCCCCTTCAAGCTGGGCTGGAAAGAGCAAAAGCTAAACAAAAAAAGAGAACAATTTTATCAGGAGAGCCAAGCCCTTCCCACCACCACCAGAGACATTTCCCAAATCAGAAGTTGGCCCATTCTTTCTCCTCCATGTCTCAGTCCCATACTGACTGAGGTCATGAATACCAGGCCCACTGTGCCCTGAGGCACCCCTCAGCTCATTCTAACTTCAACTCCAACAATGATGACATTAAAACAGTAGGTACTAAACTCAATGTGCTGTGGCATCTCCTCTGGGCCAGGCATTTGATAGTTCCATGGCCAACTGTGACAACCACTGCTGTCCATTCCAGTGTGTCAGTGCTATCTTAATTCAAGCCTCCTTGCATAGCTTTGGAATTTACACCAGTCTATACTCTTGAACTGAGCTGTGTGTTATAGTTTGGATCTTAAATGTTGCCCAAAAGCCAAGGTGTTAAAGGCTTGATTCCCAGGGTGGAGCTATTGAGAGGTGGTGGAAACTTGGAGAGATAGGGCCTAGTGGGAGGTCTTAAGGTCACTGAAGGCATGTCCTTAAAGGGGACTGGGGAACCCCAGACCCTTCCTCTTGCTCTCATTTTCTTTCCCACCATGAGGTGAAGAGTTTTGTCACCTGCTGCCATCATCATGTGCTGCCTCATCACAGGCTCAAAGGAACAAGGTCAATTGATCATGAACTGAAACCTCCAAAATCGTAAGCCAAAACAAACCTTTTCTCTTTATAACAACTTTCTCAAGTATTTTATTATAGTGATGGAAAGTTGACCAACACATATTGAAGCATAAAACTTCTAGATTAGCTATAAGAAACTTTTTGTTTTATACCCAGAAGCCATAAGGGGCAAATGAACCAAGTGTAGCATCACTGGTCCACTTATTCAGTGTAATCTAAAATGGACCTTGAAGACAATTTTAAGAGGCAACCTAACAGTAGCCCTTGGAAGGAACTCATCGGAAGTGTCACCTGAATCAAAGGGGCATGTCCAGGGCTGGCAGGCACAGCCTCTCTGCAGTTATTTTGCTCCACTCTGGCCTTGTTTCCTGGA